CCCCTGTGGATCCCCTTTTTTAATTTGCACCTGTGCGCGTTGTTGCCGGGAGGCAGTCAAGACAAAAGATCATATTATGAGCAGATATGCAGACTATTCCGTTTACCGGAAAAGGGGAAGAGAAAAAACCCTGAGAAGCTTTTTTATCTCCCTTCCTGGAACCTGAACGCACTCGGAGTAAAGGTTAATTTACAGTTTTGGAAACTGGCAGCAGATAATCCCGGAGGAGAAAAAGCGTTCCTGCAGCCACTGGCTGGCAGCCGCCTCCTCAGATAAGACGCATGAGAGCTTGTCGACATCTTGCTTTGTTAGGATCAGTGGATGAGATATGGAGGTGAAATTGTTCCCTTGTTCTGGCTGACCTCGCCCCCGAAGCTGGTGCCATGATGTCATGGTGCTTTCTCCCCTCGCCCTCGATGAGGCAGGTCTGTGGGATTATTTATATTCACTTATTAGACGTAAACTTTCTGCTGGTCAACACCAAGGAAGTTATTGTTACTTTTTATTATTTTCTTTACAGAATTAACATTTTTGTCTTGTACTGAGAAACGGGTTTAACGTCGTCTGTGTGCATTCCTCCCTGTGGCCAGTGATTGGCACACGCTACAGTCGGCTGTGGGGCACTGTTGGAGCCATCTGCCCCAGTCGTGTAGGTGAGCGTATGTTCATATGTCCTATAAGTCTTGCAGCACTCGGGCCCGAACTCCAACTGATGTCTGATGGTCTGTTTGACACAATGTAACACGAGTTTAGGTTTATCAGCTAGTTGCTTTGACTGAGCAGGTAGCTTTCCACCTGCTATTGCTTATGTATTGGAGATTGGTTTTATCTCATTGTACATGTGTATTTGGCTATTCTTTCTATTCTTTTCTATTTATTCCGCTTTATGCTAAGCTAGTAATGGGCGCTGTGGTACAAGCCTGGGTCCCGTTGAACAGTCATGGAACAATTTATGTTCCGGTTCTGGAGATGTCGCACCAGAAAAGCCTCCCAGCCATGACAGGAATGTGCCTCCTCCTCTTCTTCCTTCTCCTCCTCTCCTCCTCTTCCTCCTCTTCCTCACAGTGTGCTGTTGTGTTTGTGTTGCAGTGTTGAACTATGAGAATGTGGTTGAGACGGGTTCGGAGACAGACGAGGACGACAGGAACCTGGTCTCTGAGGACGGCGGCCTCGCTAACGGTGGAGGAGGAGGAGGAGGGGAGGATGAGGATGCGGGCAGCCCGGCCGGCGTGCCCACTCTGGAGGCGTCGCCCCGGGTTGCCCATGCCCTGCTGTCCTACCGGGACCAGGAGGGCTCCGAGGACCGGGAGGGACTCCAGAACCACCACCACTGGAGGTTTGGGGACGACAGCAACGGACACCTGAACGGCGGCGGTGAGTCAGCACGGCGCTCATTCTGGAGCTTTTGATCAGAGCGCAGGAGCTTCATCTGCAGTTTAATACGAATAACTTCTACTAAAGGACCTAAAACATCGAACTGATATTGTTTATCCGGAGAAATCAACTGTAAAACTTATTTTTCATCTATTAAAGCTCCAGTGTGTAAAATAATAAAAACCTAACAATAATATAATATTATTTCATCAATAATATGATATTAATAATTTAATATTACTCTAATGTAATATTATATTAATAATATTCATTCGTTACCTCAGATTGAAACGTTTATCTCCTGGTGGAGTCCGCCATGTTGGATGTTCTTAAATTACAAACAAGAGTTTTTGTTTATAAAATCGAAATTTTTTCGTTTAACAAATCGAATCAGAACCAGATCCATTTGCTGTACTTCGTCTTCGTCTGATGTTACTGAGTGGACTTTTCAGTCACCTGGACATGTAAGGCTGAATGAAGACTGAAGGAGGGGTTAGGCGGAGCTCGTTAAGTCAGGAGCTTTATGGCGCCATTTACATGTTTAATACAGACTGCGGCGGCCATTTATCTCCGCTAATGACTTCACTGAACGCAGTGCCTCGTCTTCATCTTCATCATCAGTAAAGAGTCGTATTGTCACCGTGTTAGACGACACAATTATATTATAAATTATATAAATAAATGTTTGAACTCAGATTCATCAGTGAAGATACATTAACACATTAACATAATAATGTAATAATATATAAACTGTAGAGGAGGAAGAGTTCAACAGTTTCAGAATAAAAGAAAGGAAAGTAGAAACAGACAGACAGATAGAGAGAGACAGACAGATAAAGAGAGAGAGGGAGAGAGAGAGAGAGAGACGGACAGACAAAGAGACATAGAGAGAGAGAGAGAGACAGACAGACAGATAGAGAGACAGAGAAAGAGAGACAGACAGACAAAGAGACATAGAGGGAGAGACAGACAGACAAAGAGACATAGAGGGAGAGAGAGAGACAGACAGACAGAGAGACAAACAGAGAGAGAGACTGAGAGACTCAGAAACATTTGAACCACAAACAGAAGAAGTGAAACAGTCATTATTCCTCCATTTTGTCTCTCGAGGAAAGAAAAAAAAGAGGAATGAAAACACAAAGACTCCATTTTACTTTCTACAACAACAACAACAACAACAACAGGAGGAAGAAAACACTGTAACTGCTGATTCCAATTTTATTTAAACTTTACAATGGACACAATACTTTATTCATTTATTTTTCTTTTATTGTTTATTTACTATGAAACAATAAACAGTCCAATCATATTAAAACTGTTAGCTTGTGGCTAGCAGCTAGCACCTCCTCCAACAGTCAACACTTTGTGTGAACATGTAAACATCAATAGGAAGTACGTGTTAGTCACAGCTAGTTTTAGCTAAAGCTAATTTACAGACGTTTTCATAAGGAAACAAACATCCTAAAAAGACAAAAGTTGTTTCTTGTTTTTAATTTAAATTGCTGTCGTCAATAAGTCGCTGCAGATGAAGCTGCTGTTATTAAAATATTATATTTCCATTATAATTAAATGTGAGTCACATATTTATAAAGACAATAAAATAATGAGCTTTTATGTTTGTGAGTGAAATTACATGTATGTATTTATTCGGCCGTCCTCCCTCCTCACCCTCTCGCTCTCCCTGTCTGTTGTTGTGGGAGGAGGAGGAGGAGGAGGTGTGTCCCTCCTTTGAAGGGCTGAATGAAGCTTATGATACTTGTGACTCCTGTTGAGGAGTCACATGAGGAGGCCCAGGAGGAACAAACACAATAGGCCACAGTTGAGCTTTCACTCATTATATGGAAAATGCCTTCAGATTGTGGTTCTGTCAGACCGCATGCAGCAGCGCTCAGGCCTCCGATCATCCAAACACCCCTGGAGGAGGAGGATGAGGAGGAAGATAAATATCTCTGTTTTCTGTTGTTTTATTTAACAGATCACAGGAAGGACGAGTATGAACCTCTCGGTCCGGAGGCTGCGGGGAACGGTTCAGGTGAGATCAATAATTCATTTTATTATCATCTATGTATGTTTAAAAATATAACTATAAACACATAGATATTATCATATTACAAACTAATTTCACATCACTTCACTTTATTTTCCCTGTAAAAGTATCTCATAATGTGACCAAGTAAACAGTTTGCTTTTTCTGCCGTATATATATATTATTTATATATAGTTTATGATATGATATACTAGTATGTTAAGTTACAGTTTGTTTCTGTTGGTTGAAAACGTGCCTTTAAAGAAGCAAAATAGTAGTTTCAACAGTGTCTTGAGTTAAAGGTGTTCAAGGAGCAGAGATTCTGGGTCTCTATAGTTCAATTTTTAAAAATATATATAGGAAGGTTATCTCTTATCAGTTTTGTTTCTTATAAAATCGGTTTATTTAAACTAAATCAACTAAAAGCCTCCTGAATATCACCGTGTTTCCTGGCGATCAGTGAAAGCATCTCCGAGCTGGCGATATTTCTGAAAGCGTAACTGAGGAGAGCGACGGGTGCCGGCAACCATCGCGAGTACCTGGCGCGAGTGAGCACCGCCTAGTTACCCGAGCAACGAGGGGACACGACTGGGCAGCTGGGATCGGACAGGATGAGAGCGAGCATGGTAAAAACTACAAACATCATAAATATATAACATTAGTAAAAAATATACATTAATACAAACTGACTTATTATACATTTAATTATTATTTTAAGCAACAGATGTTGTTGGGAAAAAAATAAAAGTAAAAAGATTCAGACAAACGAAAGAAAGGTGAACTAAAATCTAAGAATCAACAAAGGCAGTGCTGTTAGCACTGAACTTTCTCTGGACCTTTGACCTCTCTCTCTGGCTGGGAGACGCGTGCTGTCGGCGCACGATGATGACTTCGGCCAGCTGCTCAACTGTCCGTACTGCGACCGCGGCTAGCAGCGCTGACTCTCTGAAGGAACCATTCAATATCCACGAGAGAAGAAGGAGCTTCAGCGCATTGTGGCGCTGACACTTTCAGCCCGTGTCAGGCTGGAGCGTTCACTGATCGCACAACCACCAAGCAGGTATCAGCACACGTTTCTCTTTTTTCTGTGGTCTGTGCATTAATTTCAGTGTCTGACAGCAATTGGAAGGATTAAAGAGATAGATTAGTTTAGACAACAGTGTAAATATCTTATCTCTCGCCAGACTCCAGAGCAACTAGTTTTAGTTCAGGATCATCGTACTTTCATTCAAGTGAAGAACAGATTAAAACTGACTGTTTTGTGTCTATCTTTATGCTTTCAAATATTCTTGCTTTGGTTTCTGTTTGGAGTTCATTGTTCCGCAAGAGACCCAGTTGTCCTGAATGTCCTCCAGTCGCTTCAGTCTGTCAGTAACAGTGGTGGACTGAAACATCACAGTTATATTTTGAAAACCTGGCTGTATTTTATCGCTGTTGGAAGTGAAACCGGAACGGATTGGATATAAATCGAGTAATAAAGATTTGTTTGGAATATGTGCCGTTTCCACAGCGTGTGGAGGGTGTTGAACTGGTAATCTAATAATAAGCGCTGTGATAAATGTTTTCCGCAACGGCCTTGTTTGCTGGCCGTCATGATCCAAATCACATTAGAGTCGTAAAGAAAGCAGTGATCATTCAATTTTCAATTAGACTGTGATGCAGATAATGAAGATTTCTGCCATACCATGACCCCCCTCCCCGGCTGTAAACAGCAGCAGATGGTCTTTTCCTGCTGCTGCTTAACTACATAATACCGCAATGAACTTTAAGTGCTTGTTTATTTGTGTAGTTCCTCTGAGTTAAACTGTTAACAAGAGAGCTGGGAGAGTCACGAGGACGGAGCACAACACAGCCCAATTTTATTGATTATTAGCTTACTTGATATCAATGCATATCAAGATACTTACGTTCATCTGTACTGGCAAATTATATACAATACGTTATAACATAATGTTTCTTCTAGAGCTGCCAGTTAATAGAAGTATTAACACAAAAAATCACAGGAAGTTCTTAAAGTAAAGAATATTTATTGATCCTGGTGGTGGACAATAATAATAATAATAATAATAATAATAATAATAATAATAATAATAATAATTATAATAATGTATATCTAACAACATATAAAACTATATTCTGATTAATGAAAATATAATTCCAGTATACGACGGAAACAGACTCTGGAGGATCTGAGCTGATCATAATATAATAATAATAATAATAATAAATAAATGTTATTGACTTCAGTGGAAACAAATAAAACGAGCAGCTTCAGAAAGTGCTGAGTCATTAGTGATGATGGTGACTGGATGTGAGGAGGAGGAGGGACCGCAGGGAGCTCCCGCCGCCCTTCAGTCCCGTCTATCAGTGAACTGTAACAGCAGGGAGATTCTTTTATTTTATTGGGTTTGTATTATTAAAGCTGACTCAGGTCTCCTTTAGAGTCCTGGTCTGGACTGTATAGAAATAATCTGGACGTATAAAACCTCTTAAAGCTGCTCAGATATTCTAGTTCTGCTAATATTTATCTGATATTAATGTGAACGATAATAAAGTTTAAATTATTAATAACAAACCAGTTCTTACATCCTTCCTGACACGCTAGCAGGATCTGGTCGGTACCAGCTGAACGCTGCATTCACATGATTCACACAGACAGACGTCACAGAACATGTTGCTATGGTGATGTCCTTATTATTTTTATTAGTTAATGTGCTGTATTCATTATTAGCGTCTCGTTGTCCAGCTCCTCCACTGTGAGGGACTGCCAGGCTCACCTCAGTTCACCGTCCTCTCGTCCACTAACACAACCTCCAGTTTGTCCGATTGCCTGTGAATGCAGCATCAGGTCTTCTAGCCTCACATGAATAATTAACATGTAGTTCCTATTAGCAGCTTTAAAGTGTTGCAGCCTCTGACAGACAGCGAGTGGCTGCAGACGTACTGCAGAAGTTACCATCACTCCTGAAGTGTTTAATAGTCATACACACTTATACACACTGTTACCACATAAACACACACAACAAAATTCAAACAGACATTAAAAATAAATCAATCACACTTTCTTAAGAATTCATAAAAAACTTTCTTCATTAATACAAATTTAATACAAAGTTCTTCTTAATAAATCATAGCGGAAATCCTTCAGTGCTTTCCATATTCATTACTAATAACAGGATATTCAACCGCTCACATTCTGCTGAGGGGAGTTTTACTTTTACCCAGGTTCACATTTTAATTTACACACAAACTCAGTTCAACTGTAGTTTTTGAATACTTTCAGGTATTGTTTTAATAAAGTTTGAACTGATCTGTATTCTGCACTAGCAGTGAATTCCAGCTGACCACAGCGCTGTAAAGATATCTATCTGACGCATACAGAGAGCTCATCACTTCAGGTCTTATTCTATCTGCTATAAATACGTCTTTATGGGTCTTTGATGGTGATGAATTATCACAGTTTCGTTGTTCTTCCTCACACTGATTTCTGTTCCTGTTTTTATGTCTTTGGTTTGGTTTCAATGAAATTCGAAGAGAAGAAAAACAAACTTCCTCCTGTTAAATGGTTCCTTTCTATAAAGCAGAGTTTATCTCCTCTCCAACAATCATCTACATGTTAAATGAAGTGATTTCTGTCTCTGGGCTCTGCTGCTGTCTGGGGGGGAATGCTGTCTCCCCCCAACGCTGTTTGTGTTTGTTTATCTCTCCATTTGCATTTCAAACGCTGGGAATGCACCTTCAGCACAGCCTGCCACCTCTGAACAGAGTCAGCCCACACTGTTTCTCAGAAAGTGCTGCAGATAAAGAGACTTAAAGAATCTTCCTGCCGCTATCAGATCTGCTTCACTAAATACTATTACAGTTCCACTGCCTCGTAATCTGCTTCCCACTCGTCCTCCGTCACATGATAACTCTTTGTTTCTCTGTCTGCAGCCACCGCTGCTGAACGAAGGAGCTGGAAACCGCAAGTTCAAATGCAGCGAATGTGGAAAAGCCTTCAAATACAAACATCACCTGAAGGAGCATCTTCGTATTCATAGCGGTGAGTCGTCCCTCCTCCTCGTCCTATAATTAATAATCAGCTCAGTGACTCATGACATTTTCTGAAGAGTCAGTCAACCTGTTTCAGATGTGACATCAAAGCTGAACACATTCAAACTTTTCTTTGAATTAACAAACATTGATTGTATCTCTCTCTGGTACATTTCCCTTTACAGCACAGACACTAATCCTGTACAGGATGATTCATATTCACACATTGTGTCCAGTCATTCGCCACAATTCACTATACGGCTGCTGAATAGATATTGTTTTGACTGAGGCTCAAACCTGCAGATTCCACATGAAAGTAGAAAAAGAAATAATATACAGGAAAAGTTATTGTACAAGGAGAAAAATGTGCATCTATGTGTCTGATTAAAGTCCCCATGAAGTCAGAATTAATGTGTTTTTATCTCAGGCGTCTCCTGTCCTCCAGTATCTGTCCAACACTGACAGAGAGTCATTGTTTAGGTATTAATGGCATTTTAGAGTTTCCTGAAAAACAATCAAAAGTTGTTGCTCAGCTTTCTAACTGTATTCAGTGATTTTGTTGAAACTGGGTGCGACTTCTGTATGGGAGAAAATATTTTCGCTGGTTTTCCCTTCTGACGCTCCTCCAGCTTTGCTGAGCTTCAACTCTCTGTTGATGTTGGGACAGTGTTTCCTGAAGCGGACAGGATAGCTTGCTAGCTAATGTAGCCTACCCACGAATTAGCTGCTTTTGCCCTAACTGTATCTGGCTGTTAGGGTAGGCCGACAGAGGTTAAGGGGAATAAAGTATACAGGCCCACCGGAGGTCATTTACAGGAGTTTCTGGATGGGACAGATTTGATCAGTAGGCCCAACCCTCTAACTGCCGGTTTGTCCGCCTGGCCCAGCTAAGCTTAACTGACTCAGCCTTGGATTGCCAGGAGCCAAACCCTGGGCAAGAAAACCACACTCAGCGGTGCTGGGAAGCTGGCCCGTACAAACGGCAGCCGACGCTGCACTGAACGCTAGCATGTTTTGTCTTGTGATATTAAGCGAACCTTAGCACACAGCCGCAACTCCCAAGCCAAAAGCGACATTATTTAACATTAAGTAATTGCGCTAATAAACAAAGCCACACTTCATGTTGAGATATTTCAGAGTGAAGGACAGACAGATGGACATTACCATCCTCTGCTAAGCGTGGCTAATAATTTCCCACTAAACTTTTGCAAGGATTTTATTACATATGTTATAGGAAAAAAAATTATTCTAGTTCTAGTCCACGGTCTGTGAATGCCCTCCCTGACACCCTTGGCGGCAACCACAATCCACTGCTTGTTTTTTAACAAAGGGCATGCTTTAAGACGATTTCTTTGTAGCAAAGGTTTTGGTCCCTTTTATTATGTTTTTATTTTTTTAATCTCTTTTTTCTCTTTTTCTTGATTTTTTTTTTTTTTTTAAAAAATGCTTTTTTGGTTTCTACCTGAGCACTTTTGAGGAATCTTACTGATGAAAAGGGCATTGTGAATGAATGTATTAGTTGTATTTAGCCAATTAGTGCCATGCTAATCTTAATAAAATAATTAACATCCATGATAATAAACTGGCTTTATATCTGCAAAAAGTGCCCAAATGGTACATATAGTAGCTCAAACTATCACAAAACCATTTGTAAACATGATCAGCCAGGCTTTATGTAGCATTAAACAATAATCCATATTTCATGTTTGTTGCAGGCGAGAAGCCATACGAGTGCTCCAACTGTAAGAAGCGATTCTCCCACTCCGGCTCATACAGCTCCCACATCAGCAGCAAGAAATGCATCGGCCTGATCGCTGTCAACGGACGAGTACGCAATGGCAACAACGGCAAACCTGGCTCCTCCCCCAACTCCACCAACTCATCGCCTGGAAGCCCCGCCCTCGCCCAGCTCCGCCACAAACTGGAAAACGGGAGACCGCTCGGCCCTCTGGACCAGCAGGGTCAGCTGGACATCAAAGCCGAGCCGATGGACTTCAACGAGTACCGGCTGCTGATGGCCTCTCAGCACGGGTTTGGGGCAGCGGGCGTTTACTTAAATGGACGTGGAGGAAGCCCACTGGGCATCCACAGCTCCTCCCAGAGCCCCCATCAACATCTGGGAGGCATGGGGCTAGAGCTCCCCCTACTGGGCTACGCAGGGCCTTTCGGAAACAACCTGAGCGAGGTGCAGAAGGTGCTTCAGATCGTGGACAACACGGTGTGCCGGCAGAAGATGGACGGGAACCCAGAGGAGATCTCCAAGCTCAGGGCCTACATGAAGGAACTGGGGGCCCAGATGGAGGAGCATAAGCTGGCCCAGGCCGGCTTCCAGGTGGTGGGCCATGGTAGCCCCACAAAGAGCATCATTGACTACACTCTGGAGAAGGTCAACGAGGCCAAGAGTCTGATTGACGACTCCAAGAGGCAAGTAGACATCAAGAAGGAGAAGCCAAACCACTCAGTTGATTTCGGCGGTGAGGAGAAATCCCACGACAGCCAGAACCAGTTCCTACCATTCTCCTGCCAGTACTGCAAGGAGACCTTTCCTGGGCCCATCCCACTGCATCAACATGAGCGCTACCTGTGCAAAATGAACGAGGAGATCAAAGCAGTCCTGCAGCCAGCTGAGGCCAGTCCTGGCGGTCGCAGGGGCTCAATGCCCTCTGAGCTGTCCAGTAACGAGCGGGCCACCAGCCCCATCAACCCCTTCAAGGACCACGTGTCAGTGCTCAAAGCCTATTTTGCCATGAACACTGAGCCCAACTCCGAGGAACTGCTCAAGATTTCAATTGCTGTAGGCCTTCCTCAAGAGTTTGTCAAGGAGTGGTTTGCCCAGTGGAAGAGCCAAAACCACCTCAGAGGCAGTCTGAGGAAAAAGTCGCCCCCTCCCGACCGCAGCGGACTGGACGTCAACCACAGCTTGAGCCGCTCACCTGCTGTAGATTTACACGGAGGCTTCACTAATGGTGACACCTCCCACAGACTCACAAAGGCCAACCAGTTTACAGTCAACAGGCAGACAAAAGGGGACAAACCACTAGACCCCTTGGACCACTTGAGGAGCAACACTCCATCACCCCTCAACCTTTCCTCTACTTCCTCCAAAAACTCTCAGAGTAGCTCTTACACTCCAAACAGCCTAGCTTCTGAGGATGCCCATGGGGATATACCACTGGATCTGTCACTACCCAAACATATGGCGCAGAAGCTCATCTCTGTGGGAGAGAAGCGACCCAGGCCCAACGGTTTCATCATTGAGCGCAATGGTGAGGCACAAGGACCCTTAGATCTGGGCAACATCAAGAAGGAGGTCCTGGGCTCTGATGGTGGAGGGAACTCCGTCCACCAGCTGGAGAAAAGCACCAGTCCCATCTTTGGGATTAATCCCTTCGCTGGCTACACCTCTCTGCCAGCTCACGGGGCGTTTCCTCCACCCACCTTCATGTCTTCTGCCCAGGCCACCATCCCAGGCCTCAGGCCCTACCCAGGCCTCGACCCCATGAGCTTCCTGCCCCATATGGCCTACACCTACGCCACCGGGGCAACCACATTTGCTGAAATGCAACAAAGGAGAAAGTACCAACGGAAACCAGGTTTCCAGGTAAAACTACAATCTAGATATTGTCCATGATGGTCATTTGCAGAGGTGGGGAGCTGAGTCACATGACTTGAGTCACAAATTTGATTGCTTGCGGTACTCCACAAGACGTAATGGTACTTGAGGATAAAAATCTGAAGTGCCAGTACTGGTGTGCACCAGCCCATTGCAGGCACTGATTTAAACTCGACCTGACAAAATCAAAAAAGACCTTCTGAACATACTTTGGACTTAAAAAATAATGACTTGGTTCCACATCTGGTCATGTGTCAGGGCTTTCCAAAATTTACTTATATGGGTGTTTCTTTATATTGCAACTCTATGGTTAAAGTCTGTTTTAGTTTAGGTCAGAGGATGCCAACCAGATCCGACTGATCACCTCAATAGATAATGAGTCCCTCCCCTCTACTTGGAGTAGTGCTAATCAGTGGTGGCTTCTTAGGTTGGAATAAAACCTTCTGACTGTTGACCCTCTATGGTTTAGGTAATTAAAACCATTCACCCCGACCACATTACACATCTCATCACATTGGCCACTCCTCATTTGCCTAATGTAACGGTCCATGTTACTTTATGCAAATCAGGGACGTCTGTCAGCGCAAATTGCTGCATCTGGAAACTCCAGAAAAACTCTTGAACTAACTGTTGTCGATCTAAAATAAAGACCAAACGAGATGCCAAAAACAGTTTGTCGATTCAGGTGCAACCAGATGTGTTGGTGCAGTTGTAGGAGGTCGTAGACTTTTGTTGGTCAATGTGACTACAAGCGTCCAATAGTGGATAGCGGTGCGACGCCTCGCCTCACCTGTTTATGGTGCTGCTGTGATGTGAATATAGAGATCCCAGTTTATTATATATTCATACACATTTATCACCAAAACAGACAAAACAATCTCACCACAAGGTTTATTAGCAGCTGCTGCTTTAGATCATGTATTTTTCTTTTTCATACATTTATATGTATAATTATTATACATGTATTTTCGGCTACATTAGACAGCCAACAGTAGAGAGAGGACAGCAAATGTACAAATGATGGGGAAGGAGATGCAACATCTCCGGCCGTACTAAAACTAGGGATTTGGATTCTGGAGAAACATACAGTAGTTGATTGTGAAAATACACGACATAGCATATAGCATAGCATTGCTGTTTGACGACCTGGGAACGCCTAGTGTGGCTCCCATTTACCATAACCCCAAGTGTTACGGTGGGGGACGGTGTCTTATAACATATGATATATATCAACAATCAAACTATCTTTCTCCAGAATTACTGACTCCACCTTTAATGCAGATGCCTAGTACCCCCATCAACCACTCTTTATCAAGAGTCAACTTTCCTTTGAAAGACGCTCAGAAGAGTTTGAACCTTTATAATTCTTTATATTAAACATCTCAGCGACTCTGCTGAGAAAGACACTGCTAAAGCTGAAATCCCACCGGGCACGTCTTTATGACGTCACGTCTTTATAATGTGGTTTCGTCATCAATGCGTTTTCAATTGTCACCCGATGACTTTTGTTCTTGAAAACAAAATCGTCAAATTTCAGGGTATTTTATTTCGAAAATTGACCAGATTCTCTTGCTGTTTCTGTGACTTCCTGCCAGTGTGATTTTGGGTTTGTTGAGGAATCGTGAGCATTGAGATCTGGTGACCGCGGGGCAGCCAGAACATGTCGCAGGTATTTGGCCCAATACGGTCGCTTGATGAATCACTAAACACAATCGCAACACTTCATTCACAACATATGTCCCCCCTTCTTTAAAGAGTCTGCTGGATGAAGGGGACTTACCCAGGTTGGGCCTTTAAGCTCTGTCCAGACTTGGGATCACAGAGGCGGTGGGGGGTTGGAGCAGAAGGTGTCTCGACAGGTGTGGGATTATCAAAACGATCTGTCTTTGTGTCTCAGGGGGAGCTGCTGGACGGGACGGCGGACTATCTGTCAGGCCTGGACGACCTGACAGACAGCGATTCGCTGCTCTCCAGGAAGAAGATTAAGAAGACTGAAAGTGGTATGTACGCGTGTGACTTGTGCGACAAAACATTCCAGAAGACCAGTTCCCTCCTAAGACACAAATATGAGCACACAGGTATATATAACATTTGGACACTTCTTTTTTACCCCACCCCCGATGCTTTTGTCCTCTCCCTTTATATCTGATGTTTCATTCTTTTTATTTTTATTCAGCCACGTAGCTCCCCCACGATTTTCTTTTTCTCTGCTGTTATTTTTTTCTGTTTTGTTCTCTGTAAACCTTTAACATGTTCCTTTCTTTTCAGCAGGGGGTAGGGATCAGTTAATATGGAGAGGATTACATAAACATTCAGCGCCCCAAATATAAGCAACATTTTCTCTGGCGTCTCATTCACACTGTGATGTGTTTGTGTAGAGAGGAGGAGGAGGAGGAGGAGGTGTGCATGTTTGCATGTGTTTGTGCATGTGTGTGTGTACTCTGCTGTAATGAATATTTCCTTTTGATCTTCCGTACAGTCGGTCCATTTCTTCCCTTTTAGAACAGGAAACAAACAGTTTGTGAAATGAATACAGCAGTAAACATCGTACAGTTCAACCATCTGTCAGCGCTTCAATATTCATATATTTTATACAGTTACAAGAGTTTATATAATTACTACATAACCAACATTCCTCCTTATTTTCTTTTTGTTCTGGAAATAAAACAGAAGATTATATTTAAAAAAGCTACAATCTGTGAATAATAATATCACACGGACTGAAAAATAACCAAAACCAATTTTAGAGCAACGGTGTAGATTAAAAGTTTCTTGTAGGGACGGGTTGTAAAGGACTCAATGAACTGACATCAACCAAACTTAATCTTAGTCGTAACTATGCCCAGTCCGTGACGTGCGAGTATTGTCTACCAGTGTGCGTTGCTAGCATACATTGCTAAAAATCTCCCGCTGTCTTGCTAATTATTGGCTCATCGTTTACAGTTATGGAGGTTCAGAGAAATGAGTTGAAGAGAACTTGTTCAGCCTTCATTTAAGAAACAAACTTTGAGTCGGCTCCTGGCGAGATGTAATGTTATAAGAAGTTCGGTCTA